ATCTCGGCCTCCATGATCTTCCTCTTCTTTTCGTTCTCCTTGGCCTTTGCCAGGTTCTCTTTGCGGGAAGCATGTTTATCCTCTATCTCCCACATATAGTCCTTCATCTGGTCCTGGGCAACAGGAGGAGACACTTCACATCCCCACCCCAGAAACCTCCCACTAACCCACCCCTAACACTGCACTTCCAGGACCTCTGGTTACAAACGCCAACAGGAGCTTGTGGCTGCTTTTTACCCTGACACCCTTTAACCAGCTGAACTGAAAGAGCTAAATAGTACCTAAAGCCAAACATCCCTTTGCCCCTCACTGTTTGTGCACTTCAGGGCTATTAGGATCCGCAAGCTCACTCGACGTGGGAGTCATGGCACAGGTATTGGCCCCAGTTGCGTGGCTTCCACTCCCTGCAGCCCCTGGGCACGGGGACCCCGAGCTGCTGCACCTTCCCCAGCACGCGCCTGCTCCCCTGCCAGGTCCTCCCAACCACAGGGAGCTGGGGACTCGTTTCCTTTGTCAGTCTCCTCTATGTGTTCTAAATCTAAAGTTCTTTGTCAAGGACCTTTTTTGTTATTTTTGGTGATTTACATAAAATACCAAATTGGGACACCCCATGTCAAAGCCTGACACTCCTGTTGGGTTAAGCCACATGGTTCTAAAAGAATACAGCCAACCAGCAATGCTTCCGTTTACTGCACCTCACTAATAAGAGATACTTAAATTTATTTTTGTTGCTGCTGATTTGCTAGTTATGTTGTTGCAACATAGAGATCTTTTGATTTTTATTCTTTAATTACTTCAGGTAAAAATGTCCCAAGTTTTTATCCCCGTTCCAGCTGCTCTTCCAAACCATCAGCCCCAGCCTTCCATCCTCACCCATGAGGCTGCACAGGGTCACCCGGTCACCCGGGGCCACAGCAGGTTTATTCTGAACATGTGCCACTCAGTGACTGTCTCCCCAACCCCAGGGCCCAGCTGGTGTGCACATTCCGTTCTCTCGTGTGTACTAGGGCATGGGTCTTCCGCATTGTTTCTTTCAGACTTTTTTCACACTCAGCCTCTGGGCCTGAGTCTCCATCTGTGAGACGGGCTAAGGGCACAGAGGCCTTACCCGGCCGAGGGAGAGCGGCACTTCCCAGCATTCACTGGTCTTCCCATTGCTGCCCCAGCTGCACGCTGAGCCCGGGGCCATCCTGTGGGGTCAGGTCTGGTTTGGTCCAGCCTGACTTTACCTCTAGATTCCGTAGCTGTTTGATGGCTTTTGTCGCGGTTCTTGTTGGCAGAGTCTATCTGGGCCTCCAGGTCCTTCAGGTCCATCTCCAGCTTCTTCCAAGCAGCCACTGCCATAGAGCGCTGCTTCCTCTCATCCTCCAGCTCTGCCTCCATCTCCCACACCTGGGGAGACGCCGGCAGCTCCAGAGGCCGGACCCACACACACCCGACTCCAGCTCTGAGCCCAGGCGGCTCTGGCCCAGTTCTGTGGGATCCGTGCGGCCTCCCGTGGCCAATGAGAGTGAGTGAACAGAAAACCCTGATAGAGCCCTTGACTCCCCCGCCCTTCCTGAGGACAGAGGACTGGAAGAAAATCGCAAGGAGCCCTCAACAATCCAGGTGGAGGAAGGACAGAAAGAACCCTGATGAAAACATGTGGGGTCCCTGTCCATACGTAGCAGGAGGGACATACATACCTGTCTGTCCTGCTGCCTTTTCTCCTTGCGCTGCTCGTTTTGGCCCTGCAGCTTCTGTTCACACTGGGCCTTCATGATCTGCAGGTTCACCTGTAGTTGCAGGCTGGCATCTTTGGTGGCCTGAAGCCCAGCCACCAGATTTTCAAGCTGTGTCTTCATGTCTTCCCTCTGGTCCTCCAGGGCTTTTTTTTACACTTTTCCAGATTCTGGACCTGACAGCCGAGGGGACCCGAGTCAGGAACAGAGGGACAAGACGTCCCCGAGGTGTGCCCCAGTGCGGGGTCACCCTCTGACCCTCTGTGCTATCTGCCTCGGCCCCTCCCAGTACTCACACTCTCGTTCATCTCATCCTTGGAGCTCCAGAGATCCCTCCCATCTTTCTGAGGACCTGCGTTTTGCGGTGCTCCAGCTCTGCCTCCTGCAGAATCTCATGAATCCATCTGAGTCCCTCCAGCTTCCCCTCCAGCTCCTGGGCCTGCTGCCTCAACTCTGCAGCTGACTCTGACTTTGACCCTTCACACAAGTGCTTTGTCTCCTTCACAAGGCTGACCGCATCCACCAGAAGGAAGACACCTGCAGTGGCCATAGTAAGGATCCCGGCTCCTTTGGCCACTGCTCGAGCAATAACCCCAAAATCTTCCTGTAGCTCCTTGCTGCTTCGCATTGAGATCTTCACTGTGGTCACTAAAAGCACGGACCTCTGCTTCTATGAGAGGCATAGCTTTGGCCACGTTGGAGGACACGGACGTTCTTCACAATGTTGTACAGGGATAGGATGCCCTTCAGTAAGGAAGCAATTCCAGGTGCGTCTTCACTTAGAACCTCCATGACCACCTCATTGTCGATGGCACCAGACACCAGACGATGAGCTTCAGCTTTTGCTGACTTGTTCCCTACACGTTTTGAAATGCTGGCAGACACGCTGGTCACAATCAGCTATTGCTCCCAAGTCCTGCCCCAGTTGCTGCAAGCACCAGACTGGCCCCGGCTGTCATGGGTCCCAGGGACAGGCCAACAATGGTCAGAGTGCCAGACACAGCACCGGTGGACCTGGCCACCACGTTGGAGATGCTACAGTCCCTGTGCACCTTGTCAACATTGTCTGCCAGCGCATGGAGCTGTGCTATGCACTCCTCGATCTCCTGTTCCACGAGAGGAAACTTCTTTAGAAACATCCCCCTGTGCCGCTGCTCATCTGACAGCATTTGTTCATCCTCCGCAGCCATGAGTCTTTTCAGCTGGTTCAGTTCTTCATACAGCACATCTGCCTCCTCCCTGTAATGATGAAGGTCAAGTGAATAAGAAACACAGTTCGAGTATCTGTAAAATGTCTCAACCAGACCCATCCTGCATAATTACAGAGCTTGGACTATAAATTAAATGGAAAGAATTTCACAAGTGCACAAAATTGTCTTTCAATGTTAAACCCATACTTTGTCCCTTGTACATGCTCCCCAGCACTGGTTCGATCAGGGATACATAAGGGCAAGTCCTCCTAGGATGCCCTGAAGTGGTCAGTATTTGATGCAGACAGCTTCTCACTCAAAGGCAGGCCAGTCCATCACCACCATTGTTTGTGGGGACAGGGGACTCCGAGTGTGAAGAAGGGAGAGTGGACAGGAACTGAAACACTTTCCTTCAGAGGGTCCAGGAGAGTGGAGCAGATGGAACCTGACCACTGAAAGGCCTGCCCTTTGCCTTAGACACTGGGACGTACTCTCTGGGTCCCTAGAGTGTCCTGACTGATAGGAGCCTGGCACTGTGGCCATTGGGCAGTCTGACAAGGTGACATATGATGGAGATTTGGGGTCACATCATATCAGTTATGGCCTAAGAAGGAACTAGGAAAAGAAGACATTTGTTAGGCCTCCAGAGGCGACTGGACACTACAGGTCAGCCATGCGGGCAGCATGTGATCCACCCCAGGAATCCTCTGTGCACTGAGGCTCGGGGTGAGAAAGACTCTTTTCCACATGCACATCAGGCTCTTCTGAGCCCTCTTCTCAACTAGGCCTTGACCTTGGCCTTCCATGTTCTATCCTTGACAGCCTGTATCTTCCAGTCCTAGCAAGAATCCTGATGAGTCAGGTCAGGGAAAGTCTCCCAACTGTGATGACAGACGTCCTGTGATATCTGATCACTCCTTCTTCCCCCACTCTGCAGCCTCAGTCCTTGACCTGCCTGTAGCAAGGACCCTGTTAGGGGAGCTTAGCAAGAGTCCCCATGCCCCATGACACCCCCTCTCAGTCATGTCCCACCCACCATCCCCCCAGTCTGTTCTCTGGCTCTAACCCCCCAGGGGTCTCTGCTGCATTCAGAGTGGAGCCCCGTCTCTCCTCTCTGTTGTGGGAGTCGGGACAGGTGCTGCCGTTGGCCTGGGTGAGAGCCTTCTTCCGTCTTAACAAGGGTCGGAAGAGGTTTCTTTTCCAGGGTGAGCTCCCCTGGCTGGCAATGCTCCGTGGGCATTGTCACAGCTGAATGAGGAACAGTGAGGTGTCCTGGGGACAATGGAGGCTTCACATTTCACACCCTCCCTGACTCTGCCCCAGGCTTCTCTCCTGTGGCTGACTGTGACCTGTGTCCTTCCCTGTCACAAAACTACTGTGGGTGTGACAGCTTTCAGAGGGTGCTCTGAGTCCTTCTAGGAAACTATTGCACCTCAGGGTGGTTTTAAAAGGGAAGGGCATTATTGGGGATGGTGCCCTCACATTTGCATTGTGGCAATCTTGGTAACTTTGATGTGAACAATCAAAATCACAGCTGGAAGGGAACATAATCACCAATTTGCCTGGCATCTGCTCTCTGCCAAGTCTGATGCCCTTTGACCTTCCCAGCTGAAGATCCCTGCATCCAGACACTGCCCTAGTTCACAGGGAAGCTGAGGATCTCCTGCTCACCTTGGTTCACCTCTGACACTCTAGCCCACCATACTGTACCTCCCACCTCTCAGGTGTCACCAGCCAAACTCACACCTTGGCTGGCGACAGCTTCCCTTGTGTGCACATCAAGGCCATGTCCAAGTTCATGGAACCTCTTAGAGACACGGGCCACTTTGCCAACCATGTGCATGAATCACTGGGCCTGACACCTGCATCGGGACGAGTGGGGCAGGAAGCACTTTCCTCAGACTCAGAGGGCTGAGGGGGTGCATGACAATCCCCCAACACACAAAAGCCACAGCCACCCATTCTGATGTTGGAGTCTGTCATGAGCCACACAACCTCCCTTCTCCCTGGTCAGGGATGACACGACATAGAACGGAAGAGGGTCTCAAATGGCAGACAGGACTACAGCTCCCAGGCAGAGTGTGGAGGACATTGTCACCCACACCTGCTACTCCCAGCAGTGAGGGGACTGAATCAGGGAAGGAAGGAAATGTCCCCTCCGCCACACAGGACCACCACTAGGCCCCTGGCCTCTCCAGTTTGTGCCCTACATGCCCCAGCTGCCTCCCTCTACTCCCAGCCCCACTGCCAAGTCTTCCTCCTGGTCCTCCAACCAGGACCCAGCCCTGCTCCACCCTGACCCCTGGCTCTGAGCCTGGTGCAGGCCTGTCTGGGCCCCTGGACAGGATGACCGCACTTGCTCCCTCACCCTTGACCTTGCAGTACACCCTATGGCCTTCACCACCACCCTATCACATGACCTGCTGTTCCCACTGAACAGAGAGGTGACAAATCAGAGACTCTGAGACAGAAGCACAGAGCCCCAGAGCTGGGCAGACACAGAGTCAGGATTCAACCAGCTCGGCCCGGCTCCATCCAGCCTCTCCGCCTTCTGGGCCAGCAGGCCCTGCAGTGTGTGCCTGAGTCCTCCCTGAGGGAGGGACAGCCCCCCAGCCAAACCCCAGGGACTCCACATGTACCAGGGTGCAGCAGGCTTGTCCCCAAGCAAGTCCTGCTTGCCTCCCATCTCCAGGAGGAAGACCCTTGGCCCCTGTGTTTTCCCAACAATCTTTTTCAAAGTTCATGTTAACTGAGCACCTACTATGTGCCAGTCATTAGGCTACACAGTTCACATGCATTATCTTCTTTTCCTCAAAATAAAATTGAACAGGTGAATAAAACACTGTGTCATTAAGTAGCAGTCACCCTGTGGGTTTCATCTCCTCCACCTGAGACTGTTCACTGGCAATGAATGATAGGAAGTCTTCCTCATGGATTGTTGAGAAGAAACATATTCAACCCCAACCACAGGGTCCTGCCTGGAGGAGGTGTGGCTGGCAGGGTCAGCTAGATCAGGGGACTTCTGGTGACAACACAGGCATCTCCCGGAGGTTACCTGGGCACACTGGCTGCTGCCACAAATCTCTGCCAGGCTTCAGCACTCAGCAGGCACCGCAGTTTCTCTATGCTCCGTAGGTCCAGTAAAAACTCAATGGCAGGAAGAATGTCTTCACTCTCTAGAAGGAAAGAAAAAAGAATAAGGTGAGAAGAAATTGTGGTAGAATGTAAATGGTATTGACTGTAAATCAGGTAGTTGAGACCTGAATGAGGTCATGAGTGTGGGACTCAAACCCAGTGTGACTGGTGTCCTTATGAGAAGAGGGAGAGACACCGGATCCCTCCCTCCCTCTCTCTCCCCTTCCGCCCCTGCACCCTGTGCACACAGGGAAGCATGGAGCATGTGCGGACAGAGCAGGAACGCCGCCATCTGCAAACCAGGAAGAGGGCTCTGCCCAGCAAACAGCCCTGCCAGCCCCGGGATCCGGGACTTCCAGCCTCAGGGATTAAATATCTGATCCTGGGATGTCGGTGTGTCTGGGAATTCAGACTTGTTGGTCTTTCAGAAAGAGAGTTCAGGGCACACGTGCTGTATGACCCCCGCCTCCAGCAGGGCCTGGGCAGCACCCAGTAACAACCGCACTCCTGCTGCGACAGTGAAACAAGTGTATTCACCTGAAATGGGGCAGACCCTGTACCGACTGTAAAGAGTCTCACGTCAGCACAGAGCAAGATGACTGCCCAGCTGAGCTGCCACAAACGTGTGGCTCCCAGGGATTTGGAGGCCGTGGAGTGGCCACTGAGGGGTGGGGGACTAGTGTGTGCATTGTGTGTGCAGAGACGGGAGGGGAAACGTGTTTCCTGCTATATACCCACTAGACACATTATTCTTGTTCCAGGAAAAGGAAAGTGAAACTCGGACAGGGTAATGACGGCCCAACGCCAGCAGGCGGAGAGCTCAGAGGTCAAATACAAGGTCAACGTCAGACATTTCTTTACATTACTTCTAAGCCTCCTTATGTTCAAAATTTCATGTAATTTCTACATCCTATTCTAAAGTACTCCTGTGGGTGGCTTTTTAATTTAAAAATGTGTCGGACCACACACTGCTGATTTCCAGTAAAACTACCCTGCAAATGGGGGTTCCTGCTGCTGCTCACAGAATGCCCCAAGATGGGCTGTGAAAAGGGGGGTGTCTTTTGTTTTCTAAGATTTTATTTATTCACTTTTAGAGAGAGGAGAAGGAGGGAGAAACAGAGGGAGAGAAACATCACCCTGAGAAACAAACATCGATCCATTGCCTCTTGTGCGTGTTCCAACCAGGAACTACACTCCAACCCACACGTGTGCCCTGATGGGGAATGAACCCTGTGACCTTTCAGTCTGTTGAGACGACACCCAACCCACTGAGTCGCACTGGGTCAGGGCTGAGAAGTGTGTGTTCAGGTGGGTGTCATATGGAACCTGCAGCTCTAATCCTGTGATCAATCAATGTCACCTCTGTCCTCTCCAGGCGGGTCCCAGGGGACACAGCTCCCCATTGGCAACTCTGACCCCAGGCTCTCCCATTTCCTAAACAGGAGGTCAGCTGGTTTATCCTCAGGAATCCGCCAGCTCTAGCCCTCCCTCAGGGGTCCCAGAGCCCGCTCAGGAGCTCCTGGCTTCTGACCTGTCCTTCCCTCCTTTGTCCTGCAGCATCAATAATTTTTTTTCTCCTGGGAACCCCCTGATAGGGTGATTTTGTTGCCAAGGCAATGCAGTCCTGATTTGGGTGGGTGGAGGGCTGTTTGTTCTCTTCCTTGGTTCATTCATAGGGAGAAAGGAAACCAGGTCTTAGCTATAGGGAGCCCAGACCACTCCAGCTGTGTTTGTATTGATCCGGGGCTGGTGGGAGGAGGGATGGCAAAGCTGGCCTCTGTGGGCACATTGAGATCCAGGAAAACAGTTCCTGCCTGAGACAGTCACACCTGGTGAGTAGGTGTTTATAATTGAAAACGAGGGTCGGCCCTCACACAGCCGTGCAGGCTGGGAGTGGTATGGAGGGGTCAGTTTCCACCTCTGTACCGACCCCTAATAGCTGATGCCAGGTAGGTAGGACCAGAGACTCCTGTCTCCCCCTGGGCTGTGCTGGCCTCTACTGAGTCACTGGGTAGGTGGAGGGGAGGGAGGCAGTGAGCACTTTGAGCAGAGAACCAGTAAGGGGAACCCTCCCATTGACTCTGGGATGAGGGAGCTCCCCTTGGCTCCCGTTGGGGGCTCCAGGACCCTCATCAGGCCCCTTGCAGGTTCCTGTTCCTGTGTGGATACACTCAGCCTGGAGGCGCCACCCTCAGTTCTGGGTCATGAGTACGAACCATCCAGGGAGAGGGCGCTGACTACCTGGGTTGACGTTGCCAGCTTCTGAGGCCATGGTGTCAGCAGTGGGATCTCGGGACTTTTGCCTTCAGCTCACCCTCCTGTGTCTATGGCTAGACAGGGCAGCGCTTCACCCCTGGGGAAGAGAAAACAAACTGTGGGTGGAATGGGAGCCAGCTGTGGCCACAGGGGGGCAGCGAGGGGCCGAGTCTCTGCTGCTGCTGCCCTCTGGGATGGACGCAGGGCCCAGTGGACTGAGCTCAACGTGTCTCTCTGTGTGCTGGGCTCTGCCCGCTGCTCTTCTAGAGAAGTCGCTCTCCTCCCTCCAGCGCACTCCTGCTG